GCCCTGGGTGTCCCCAGAGTGTGCTGGAGTCCATACCCTGTCATTTATTGGGCTGAGGTAGGGAACCAAAAAGATGAGGAGGATTGAAAGAGAGTCCAAGTTAACTTTACAGGCAACCCCCCTCCCTACTTACCTCATTTCCCCTGGGGCTCCTCTATTATAGGTTTGAGGCTCTGGATCTTAAGAGAGAGGTAGCTGAGCTTGTGGTGGAAAGCCCATCTACAAGCTCAAATAGGAAGAGGCAGTTGATACCATGCCTGAAGACTGCCTCTGATAAGAAAGAAAGAAGGGTAATTATAGTAGGCAATTCCCTTCTGAGAGGAACAGAGGGCCCAGTATGCAGGGCTGACCCTCATCAGTTATGGTTTTATGATTTCTGATTATCAGTATTCCACACCATAACATCATGTAATGCACTGGGGGTTTGACTGCTGATGCTCAAGTTCCGGGTGCCTGTCCGGAGGCGAAGAACTACATTTCCCCAGGAGGCTTTGCAGTCAGCGAGGAGATATAACTGTGCAAGGTCTGGTATCAACCTGATGTTCTCTTCTTCGCCTGCGCTTCTCCATCTGCTCTTCTCCATCTGCTCTTCTTCATTGGCTCAACCGGACTGCACTTCTCACCTCAGTGTTGTGGTGAGCCCTATCCACCTTTCAGACATGCACTCTCTCTCTCATTCTATTTTGCTGATACTATATTTAGTAAATTAGTTTGTTTCACCTCAGATCGGTTGCTGCTGTTTTCAATTATTTTGGGGTCCCCTGTTTCTTTTTTCCAGAGGCACAGATCCGTGGATCCCTCTGCCCTGCTAGTCACAGAACTGGGCCAAACCAGCCTGTAAACCGTTGACATCATCATAGGAAAGTCTGCAGTCTGCCTGGAGCCTGGATCAGGGATATCACCAGGACACTCCCCAGCCTGGTGTGCTTGACAGTCTGCTACTGATCTGATACTGATTTTTGGATGAGGATATGGGACAGAATAGAAGGATCCAGTCCATAAATGCTTGGCTACGAGACTGATGCTACAGGCAGGGCTTTGATAATGGCTGGTTTTATAGTAACACATAGGAAAGGTTTATCTCACAGAGGCAAAAGGGTTCTGGGACAGGAATTAGCGGGGCTCATCTGGGGAACTTTAAACTAGATTTAAAGGGGGATGGGGCTGTAACTGAACTTGCAGTGGTGGGACAGTGGGAGCCTACCACCCCCCTGGGTGAAATCTGCATGCTCAGCTCACTCCCCAAAATTCCTGTACACCAATGCACGCAGCATGGGGAGTAAGCAGGAGGAGTCAGAAATCTGTATTCAGTCAAGAGATTATGACCAGGTGGCAATTACAGAGACATGGTGGGACAGCTCACGTGACTGGAATGTGGTCATGGATGGCTATGTCCTTCTCAGGACAGACAGACTAGCTAGGTGAGGTGGTGGAGTTGCTTTTTACAGGAAAGAGCAACTGCAATGTATTGAGTACTGTCCAGGAATTGATGAGGAGCAGGTTGAGAGTTTGTGGGCGAGGAGTAAGGGACAGGCCTGCATGGGTGATACTGTTGTGGGTGTCTATTACAGGCCACCCAATCAGGACAAGGAAGTTGATGATGCCTTCTACAGGTAGCTGGTAGTAACTTCACAATTAAAGGCCGTGGTCATCATGGGAGGAATTTAACTAGCTGGATGGCCTACTCAGCCAACCATTCACAGTCCAAGAGGTTCCTCCAGTGCATTAAGGATAACCTCCTGATGCAAACGGTGGTTGAGCTGACTAGTAAAGGGGCACTCTGCATTATCCAGAGAAAGCCACAAAGATGGTCAGAGGGTTGGAGTGCCTATCCTAGAAAGAAAGACTATCGGGAGTGGGCTTTTTCAGCCCATGGGGAGTGGGCTTTGTCAGCCTGCAGAAGGCTTCAGGGAGACTTCATTGTGACATTTCAGTACTTAAAAAGAGTTTATAAAATATATGGCAGACCCAGCATTTCACATGGTCAGACAGTGACAGGACAAGGGTGAATCATTTTAAACTAAAGCAAGGCAGATTTAGAATAGATGTTAATAAGAAAAGTTTTACTGAGAGGAACAGGCTGCCCAGAGAAGCTGTGGATGCTCCATCTCTGGAGGTGCTCAAGCCCAGGCTGGATGGGGCCCTGGGCAGTCTTAGCTGGTGGGTGGCAACTGTGTCTATGAAAGGGAAGTTGAGACTGGACGATCTTCATCTCCCTTTCAACACAGTACATTCTGTGATCCAATGATCTTCAGTGTTTATCTGAAAGAGTGTTTCAGCGATTGTGGAGTCCTAGAGGCTTTGCAGTTGCTCCCAGTTTTGAATGGAAGGCACTTTTCTCCCTCCTGTAAAAGCTTGATCCACCTGGCACTTCTGAAGAACCCCATGTTCAGACTAACCTATACTGCCAAGTGCTGTGAATCTACAGTGGCATTTCTCAGGTCTGCGCACTCCCATGATGGTTGTCACCAGTTCCTTATGCACAGCACAAAGTTTCTAAGTGTGTGTGTTGGCACAAGTCCCCATGGGCTGGTCTGGAGCATGTGGTCACCATGTGTCTGGCAGAACAGACAGCAGCACTTCGGAAGTCACATGGAGAAAGGAAAGCAGCAGTATACAGTGTTGCATGGTTATGATATATCTTTGGGGCAGAAAGTGATTAACCCAACTAAGACATCAAGATGTCGCAAGAGGAATAAGCTGCTCTGAGAGCGCGTGAAAAGTGACATCACTTTGTACCGAGCTAGCAGACATGCACCAGATCAGATTTTTAGTTACTTTGCTTCCTCTTTTTAAATGCTATTCTTAAAATGTTTCCAAATATCCTTGGTGAATGGCATTTATTCCCATTACCTTTCTTGTGAACCTGGGATGCCTTAGTTCCTGCTTGCTCCCGAGTGACTGTATAGACATGCACTTTGTTGTGGTTCTGTGATCTTGTCAGTATACCACATCAGAACATCATGTGGACCAGTGTTAGATCGACGAGTTAATGAACGAGTTAATGTTCTGGTTCCCTTTACCCCCTTTTACGGGCACTTTGAGTATCCTGATGGGAGGGGAGGGGGCGGCATGCCCAGAGGACCTGTCGCGAAGCGGAGGTGGGCTGGAGCTCTGGGCAGAACCCGAGCATCTGCCTCTCTCCATCAGCTGTGTCAGCTCGCCCCGCAAAAAAGCACGTGCTTTCCCTCACACTGTCGTGGTTTGACTCACATTCTGGATACTCGTATCTCTCTCGTTTTCTTTCATTTGGTTAAATTCAGTAAATTACTGTTCCACCTCAGATCATTGCCATTGTGTTTTCATTAAAGCTACCTGCTAGCTCTCTGCCGGGTCGCGGCAAACTGTTCGTACCCCTTCCTTTTTTTTTCTTTTTTTTTTTCTTTTTCGCTGGGCCTGTGCCCCCTGTCACATACTTATACCTAGGGATAACCCCGTGACAACTTTCAGAGAAACTCTGTAGTGTGAGTGACACACAGAACTTAAGTGCTGTGAAGGTTGTTTGCTTTCTGTGGTGTAGGAGGAGAGACAATAACTTGCACTGCTTCTCTTCTGCCTAACTGCTCTTTCCCAGAGGGGAATTGATCCAGAGGGTTGGCAGTAAAGGGATGGGTTGACTGAGAGTCGATGCGTGAACAAAACAGAAGTGAAGACTGAGCCATTTCTCCTAATCTGTTCCTGAGTTTGGAATGCAGTCTGTGTAAAATTGTGGTACTACGTGGTTTTCCTCACCAAATACTTGGGGGCTGATGCTGCTCCCTCACTTCAGAAAACCTTATTTGATGTTTCAAAGAAACTTTGAAATCAACACAGAAAAAGTGTGAACTACTCGTTCACGTGTTCAGCTTCCACATTCCTCAGAGGATCAGGGTGTCTCAACTTTGGCAGAATGTTTAGGTATTCTGTAGGATGACGGGAGGTGTGCAGAGCTGTTAATAAAACCTCCTTCATTGATCTGAGTCACAAGGGAAAGCAAATTTCAGCTAACACTCATGGAGCAGATGTTGGTCTTAGGAGGACAGTCTTACTCTTCATAAACAATGCAAGAGAAAGAGCTCTTTTTTTCGCTGGCCTATTTTGTTTGATTGTTAATTAGTGAAAAATCACAACTGGTGACTTACTCATTAGATTCAAACATTAAAGAGCTGTTTTCTGTCTTGTTGCTCAGTATGCATAAATTAATTGCTGCTACAGAAAGACAGTAAAACTCTACTTCCTTAAGCAACGCTGAATTTGCATTGCTAGTTATACTTGCATGTGTCTGGAGGCCAGAATCTTACCAACACATTTCAGCCCTGTTCAATTCCAGGCCACGAAATTCAATTCTGCTCCGCACAATACAAAAGGGATATTAGGAAAGGGACAACAAAGCAGGTCAGAAGGTGGAAGGCATGTCCTCGGAGAGCTCAGAAAATATGGGTTGATGCTCTTACGCTGACGGGTAGTAAGGATGCATGCTATGGGACTGTGGAGTTCTTGCGCAGAGCATCCAAAGGGAAAGCAGTGAAACAGCTCTGTGTTGGCTCTGGGGCCAGGTGGGATCTGTGTGCAGAGAGCATCTCTGGAGCTCCCTGAGTGGCAGAACTGGGAGAGGAACACCCATGGGAGGTTCCCGTGGGATCTGGAGTCAGCAACAGCAGCAGCACCATGGGGGCTGGGTTTGGGGATGCACCACCTGAGCCGCTTCCTCAGCCATGGTGGGTTTCTAAGCCCCGTGCCTGTTGCAACACTCGCAGCCTTCACAGATGTCCCTCACATCCCTCCAGTCAACACAGGGCTAGGGCACCGTCATCTCCTTTTGCTTGGTTCACTCGCATCCATGGGGCAGAAGCAAAGTGAGGAATGCCCAGTTCCTCAAGTAGAAATGGGCTGCTCAGAGAAAGCCTGTGAAAGAACACCTTCTGCATCACAGCAAACACACATCGCTGAGGTGGAATAATTTGGTGTTTTATTTTTTAAGGAAGCTGTTTTTAGAATGTCTCCGAATGTCCTTAGTCGGTGTCATTTCATTCCCGCTCTCTTGCCATGAACCTGCACCCGATAAATGCACGTGTGTCCTGCATTTCCCCAGTTGCTGAGTGTGACGAGCTTTATATGCCAAAAGGCTCTGGGGGTCTTGGTCTGAAAAACAAAGAAGACAGGAGACTTCACTCCTGGCCTGGAAGCAACCGCAGCTTCCTCAGTGCATTTCCTTGTCAGCACGGTGGTGCCTGCTTGGGAGCCAGCTCCCTCCTTGGCTGAGGAGGAGGCTTTTCTCTGCTTCCCTTCTCCCGAGCAGCCCCACTAAGGCCCCCCCCACTAACAGAGCCAACGTCTGGCCTGCAGGAGCAGGATGAGCAGCAGTGGAAGCTTGATGCCACGTGGACCCAGAAGACGTGGGGCCTAGCAGACACAGAGCTGCCAGGCGCTTTTGTCCAGCTCACGCTTGCTTCTTCCCTTTTCACTCTTCCCTTCACCGTGGACTCTGTGTGGTATGGCTGGGGAGCACACCTGCATGTGGGCTGTCTAGGAGTGCCAGCGCAGACAGCAGCTCCTTCACCTGCCTGGGCCACAGATGCCAACCGGCCACTCACTGGGAACAGGGCATGCACGTGGCAATGTCTCCTGGCTCTCACCACCTGACACCTGCATTTTAGGGCATTTCCCAGCACGTGTGGGTTTGCAAGGCTCTGCCCTGCCAAAAGAGGTGGGCACTGCTGGGGAACTCTGTGCTCCTGCTCCTGGCCCAACGTGGCGCTCTCCCTGCTTCATTTAGCTACCCTGCCATGTCATGTGCTCTCGGCCCTCTGAACCTCAACATGTTTTTTTCTAGCTGGTGCTGGACCCCTGCCTTGGCAGGACTGCCCACACTTCTCCTGCCACTGACTTGCTGCCAGAGTGGTCTGGAATGGTCTCCTGCCCGCACGCAATGACTGTACCTGCAGTTCAAAGGTCTGGGACAGCTCTTCCCTGATATTATAGGTGAATTGCCCAAGCAACTCTTCGTTCTCTCCTTCCTTGTCCAGTCCCTATGAGATAAAGCACAGGGCAGCAAGTCAACATGTGTGTCACACCTGGGCCGCCGGAGCTCCAGCAGCTCCTGCAGTTCTGCTGCAGGATGTGGTGGGGCTGAGTCTCCCCTTGAGCACTGCTCAAAGGACATACTGGTCCTCTTCTCCAGTATATTTCCTAGCAGAAGCCTTTCCCGACAGCTACGTCCCATCCCCATGTACCAGCAGACACTTACAAAGACAGCAAAGTCACGGGGAGCGCTGCTGATGTGCCACAAGGTTGTGTCCACCGTGTGCTGCACAGTGACTGCAGTCGGCTGGACTTCTGTGGGCAAGTTGAAGACAATCTGGCTGTTAGATGTTTTCATAGGCCAGCAGTATCCCGGGGAAATGTCCAGCTGAAAGCAGAGAGTAGGAAGTCATGAGGCGCATGCTGCTGCCTGTGCAGCCAAAAGCACAGGCAGCACTGAGCATGTGAGCTGCTTGGGTGCTGCAGGCGGCAGGCAGGGAAGCAGACACGCCCAGCTGTCTTGCTGGCATGGGAAAGTTCCCATGGAGAGGAAAATATCCGTTACGAAACATGGGATGCCCCACACCGGAGTCAGGGCTATGCAGAAAGATCCCAGCAGCTCTGCATCGTCCCCTGCCTCCAACCCCTGCCCAACCCAAACAACAACGATCAGAGCTGACAAAGGCAAACAGGGTGCCCAAGAAGATTCCTCAAGCAGCCCTGACCACGGGATAGTGGGATGCAGGATGTAGCAGCACAGCTCAGCCCAGGTCAGCCTGCCTTCAGAGGAATGCCACTGGTTCCTGGTAAGCCAAGCCCCGAGGGAGGCCTCAGGAGCCGGGCACCTGAGGAGCACCGTGGGCTTGAGCAGTGCTGCAGAGGGGCCTGAAGGGAGAGTCCCAGGGGCGTCCCCCGGCTTGACAGGAGGGAACAAAAGCAGCACTGAGGATCTCTGCTACCATACCTGCTCAAAGGTCTCCAGCACGTTTGGAGCGCACAGGATCCAAGCCACCCTGCAGTACCATGCAGACCTGGATGATCTCTGCAGGTCCATGGGGACCCCTGAATTGAGAGGAGAGCAGATGATTGCCAGGGGCCCAGTCTCCCAGCACCTAGTCGGCTCAAGCTATCTCTGCCTGCCTGCTGACAGCATCCCTCTCTCAGGTGCGCAGAGATGAGGTTTGTGGACAGTGGCAGGCAGCACGGCCCTCTGCGAAGGGCAGCAGGCTCAAGTCAAGGCCGCACTGCGTGAGGAGAGCTAAGAGCTCAGGACCTGGTTTCAGTCCCTGAGAAATCTCAACCAAGTGCAGTAACTCCTGTCAGGGGTGTGCCAGGGGCACCACTGCAAGGAGCGAGGGCATGAGGGGGCTGAGCCACTGAGCCCAAGGGAGCTGTGGTGCCACGGTGATTTGGGCCAGGTGATTTAGTCTCATCCGGCTCTTCCTCCTTTGGCAGCGCTGAGCATAAGCCCAGTGTAGCAAGATGTGCCTGCCTGGGTCCATACCTGCACTTTTCAGAGCCCGGTCAGACTTGGTGAAGCAATTTTCCCGAGGCCTCACAGGCACTGCTCCTTTCAAGACCTGGCATTCCTGGGGAAGACAGAAAGCAGCACAGGAGATGAGCACATCAGCGGGCTGCCACGTTGCACCACTGGGTTCTGTGTCAGAGCTAAGAAACCTTTCAGGAAGCGTCAGAAAGCAAGACACAGGCCTCGTCTGCAGGGGCCCTCAGGCTCTTTTCATCAGCAAAATTGAAGGGCTGGACAGGAGTTTTTGTGTTCCCCGCAATAGTATGGGCCTGGGCACCCGTTGTCCACCTCCATTCTCTCCAGATGCACTGTGGCAGGCTGGGATACGTCTGGAAGGGCACCCAGGTGTCTCCACTCTCTGGGAAGACACCAGAGCTGCCAGAGGTCCTGGATAACCAGGACAACAATGCGGGCAGCTTTCCAGCAGCAGGAGGTGGCCCGGTTAAACGTGACAAAAGAGAAAGCCTTTGCAGAAGGGGAGCTCAACCAGCAATGGCTGGCACGAGATGAGTGGCTGGGGTCAGAAGGCAAATCCCACAGGCAGCCCCACAGAAGTGCCCTGCCCGAGGCTCTGCTCATCCTAGCCTCTTCCCTAAAGCTCAGGATCACCTTCATCGCAGTGTCACACTCTTCAGCCACGTAGGACACCCCCTCCCTCTGGTTTTCAGTCCCCTGGGTTTGCTCAGTCACCAAGTTCCTGCAAACACACACAAAGCAGATGTTGTCAAGAGAGCTGCCCAGCCCCTGAAGTGCACTCAGAGCTCACCAATGAGCAGACGCACAGACACTCCTTTGTGCTTCCTTTTTTTCCCAAGCCTAGGACTGCCTCCCATCACCACCGTGTTTAATCAAAGGCAGAGAGGGAATGGCACAAGCCCTGGGGATTGTGCAAGGCAGCGCTAATGGCAAGAACTCATCTGCCACTATCCCACCACGAGAGCAGCAGGTCAGATGGGGACCCTTACCCTGAGTTCATGAAGCGTGGATCAGTCTGCATCGACAGCATCTGAAAAAAAAAGGCCATTTCCATTGGAGCACCAGTCACTGCTGGCAACAGCAGGACACGTGCATTTGCCCACCCACCACCTACAGACGTCCTCTGCGGAAATTCCCTGTCAGTAATCGTCACTGACCTGCAAGAACTCCTTTGTCAACGATTCTCTTGCCAGCAAGAATCCACAATAAGCACCAGCTGTCATTTGAAACACAGAAAGTTATTTCACTATGGTTTCTAAGGATTGCCATAGTCCCACTGTCTCCCCCCCAAAACCAAGGTGCAAGATATTCCCTGAGGAAGTGGGGGACTGGGGCAGAGACCACACGGCTGCAAGAAAGGATCCTCTTCTCCAACCGTGACTGTAAAGCACGAACGCTTTGTGCTGCCACTGCCTCTCCCTGCCTGACAGCGAGCTTGGAAGGACATGGACAAGGCTCCCTTTGTAGCCTTGGCTGAGCAGAGCACCACTCTTACGTTGACTGGCATAGAGGACGAAGGCTACGGGGCTGTGGCTCCAGCACAACAGCGTCCGAAAGGAAAGCTGTGAGTGGCTCTCGGGCCAGGCGCGATCTGCGTGCGCACAGCGTTCGTCTCCAGAGCTCCCCGAGCGGCAGAAGTGGGAGGTGCGAAGGGCCCCGCGGGTGCTCCAGCGCCTGCCCACACGCTGGAGGTCCCATCTAGCGTTTGTTCTGCTGGCAGCAGGCAAATACTCACCGAAAGCAGACAGAAAGGTCAGGAAAAGCAGCACGCAGACCCCAGAGTTCTTTTTGGTCATCTCTTGCCTGAAAAAGAAGGAGTCGCAGTGTTGGCAGCGCTCAGGGTTCGATGCAGACCCCTTCTCAGGGGCATCTCCTCTTACAAGCTGCGAAGCAGCAAGGTGGGGAATCCGCTGCTGGCAAAGAACAGCCAACAGAGCAGCCTCCAGAAGGAGAGGGGCTTCCCTCAGCTACCTCCAGCACCACAGGCAAAACATGCCAAAACCTGGTTCCAACAGCACCTTCAGGAAGGGCACTGAAGTAACCCAGGCAGCAAAGCAGACCCAGCAAGTGAAGGCGGTGGCTCATGGGAACTCCTTGCTGTGGACTTGACTTCTCTTTTGCTGAGGAGTCAAATCTCCTTCTACAGGAGATGAAGAAACGCCTCCTGCTTTGAGGTGCCCTCCACAGGCAGGCTGCAGCCGTCTACTCCTGGCCTCCTTTAACTCCTGCTGCCTCTCACCCTCACATCCCAGCCAGAGGCTTGGATAAGAAGTTTTGAGCTGTGTCAGGTGCGTGCACTGGGGCTTTGCTCCCATTCCCTCCTCAGCCGCTGCCATGGCTCCGGAAGCACGGAGCTGCTGCTGGCAGGAGCCAAGTTCTTTCTCCTGGTGGGTAGCACCGCCAGCCTGGCCTGCCCACCCTGACCCACGGAGACCCCCAAGTACCACATCGCGCAGGTGCTGTACTCACACAGTGGAGATGCTTGTGCCAAAGAATCTCTTGAGGGAGACCACGATCTGAGAGTTTCTCAGATAATTTCTGATGTTTGTCCCTGGCAAAGAAAGGGGAGAAAGAAAAAAGTCAAGCACGTCCTCAAAGCATACCAGACAGGACCATGTCAGACCCTGTAAGAAGGGCTGGGAGCCGGTGCAGATCACAGCAGGGGCAGGGGCAGGGCTGCGGCTGTGTCCTGGAGAAGGGGCAGCTGGGTGCACCCTGCGAGCGGGACTCCGAGGGCTGCTAAGGATTGCCTAGCAGGCACAACGTGACGGCATGTTCAAGGATGGAGGTCAGCCCTCAGCTTGCAGCCCCAGCTCCTGAGATACTGGGGTGCCCCGTGCTGGCCAGAACGTTCCCCAGAAACCTGGTGCAGCAAAGCAGCCCTCAACTTACCCACAGTGTATACAGCACTGCTTCTGCAGCTGGCTGGCGCTGTCTGGGCAACCAGAGAGGGGATGGAGCTGTGGAGGAAAATGAAAAGCCCTGCTGTGCATCGTCTCCACACCATGGAGCCGTAGCCAAGCGGGACTGACCAGCCGGGAGGCCCCGGCCAGAAGAGACATCTACCTGTTTCCTGGGAGACAGCTGCTCTCCATTTCTGCACCTCTCAAGTTGCTGCCAGCCCTTCCTACCGCCACCCTTCGAGGGGGCCTCTGTGCCCCTCGTAGTCTCTGAGGAGACTTTGTCCTCCTCATGCTGTGGAGGAATCAAGCTTTCCCCCTCTCAGTGTCCCCTTCAGCAGCAGGAACGTCTGCGCAGAAGAAGGCCACTGAGCAACAAGCCCAAAACTGATCTGCGGAGAAGCGCGCCTGCCCCGAGCACACAGCCACAAGGACACCACCGCGAGCTCCTTCCACACGCATTGGCAGCCACGGCCAACAGTGCCAGGTGGCGGCTCAGTGGGGCAGACTGTGGCACCCAGTCCTGACGTCACAAAGGCCTGGGCCTGCACAGCATCAGCTCGTGTCTGTGACCTCAGAATCGGGGCTAGGGGTCAGCAGGGCAGGGAGGTGGGAGACCCCGCCAGTTTCATGGTATGTCCGCCCTCGACAGCCCTGGTGGGCCCAGATAATTGTAGCCCAAAGTTCGTGAGCCATTTCACTATCATCAGATATCTCCATGGTGTGCTGTCATGGGCTATACCTGCGCTGCAGAAAGGGATTAGCTTGGATCCTGCATGTGGGACGAACAGCATCACGGTACTTCCATGAGTTACCACAGAAACCGTTTTTTACTCTTATTATTAAATCTTGGCTTGACTTTGAACTCCTGAGTATTCCAATTGTATACTGCGAGAAATGTGAGCAACATCGTGAGATGTACTGGTACAAACCAGTTCTGTAGTTTGAATGCCAGGCAGAGGGGAAGGCCAACTATGAGAGGCTGTGCCAGCATGCCGTAGCAGGTAAAAACTAAAGAGAAGAGGAGGAGGAGAACGCGGAGGGGCTAACCAAGCAGCGAACAGGGATGGGACATCAGCTGAGGGAATGGGGAGCCTCGCACAGGCTGTGAGGCTGGAAGTCCTCGGCCAGTGAGGGAATGGGAGAAAATATGCACTGGGAAGTAGTAAATAGACACTGTTGGGTCACTCTGATCTGACGTGCCCTTGTCAAGTTCACCCGCTTTTGTAAAAGCGCGTAAGGAACTGCAATTTCTAGCAAATTTCACCTAAGCCCCAACTACAATACAATACAATACAAGCATTTCTCACACGGTGAACACGTGTGCCACACCTCAACCAGCAACGCTTGGCAGGAGGTGAGTGGCAGGGGTCAGCTGGGAAGTCCCATAGGCAGCATTCACAGTCAATGCCCTGCCCAATGCTCTACTTATCCCTGCCTCTTTCCCAAAGTACAGGACCACCTTTGTCACAGCGCCAGTCTCCGCAGACAGGCAAGTTACCTCCTTCCTCAGGAACTGAATCTCTTGGGCTTGTTCACTCGCCAGGGAGGGCAAGCTGCTGTGGACACACAGGTCAGAGAGCTGCCCAGCCCTTGACAAGCACTCAGAGCTCACAGATGAGCAGACACACAGGCACTCCTTTGGGTCTCCGTTTCTTTGCAAGCTTAGGGGAGCCTCCCATCACCTCCACATTTAGCAAAAGGCAGGGAGGGAAAAGTATGAGGCCTGGGCACTGTGCAAAGCAGCGCAAGTGGCGAGAGCTCATCTGCCACTATCCCACTGAGAGAGCTGCAGGTCAGATGGGGGGCTCTTATCGTAAGCTCGTCAGGTATGGAGCAGTCTGTGACGACAGTGCCTGCAAGGGAAAGGCTTTCCATTGCAGCACCAGTCACTGCTGGGAGCAGGAAGATGGATGCATGTGCTCTACAGATGTCCTTGGTGGGAATTTCTTGGCTTTCACAGAATCACACAGAATCACAGAATGGCCAGGGTTGGGAGGGACCTCAAGGATCATGAATCTCCAATCCGCATGCAGGGCCACCAGCTTTCCCATTTAATGCTAGAGCAGGCTGCCCAGAGCCCCGTCCAGTCTGGCCTTGAACACCTGCAGGGACAGGGCATCCACAACCTCTCTGGGTAGCCTATTCCAGCACCTCACCACTCTAACCTTGACAGTGACAAACGACTGCCATAGTCCCAGTGTCTCCTCCCAAACAAGGGTGGAAGACCTGCGGGATGGGTCAGAGAGCACATGGCTGCAAGCAGGGTGCCTTTTCATTTGCTTGGGAGCTTGTCCCAGCCCTGGTCTCCAGGTACATTCAGCACCCAGCAGCTACCCCAACTTTCCCTTCTCTCACTAATGGTTACCATCATCCCCAGGCTCTTCTATGTGGAAGATGACCTTCCCATCCCTCTCTTTCCAAACAGCCATTCAATCATAGAATCTATTATTCTATTAATCTATTCTATTCTATGGCTTCATCTAGAATAATGGAATATTCTATTCCATCCTTTTCTATCTGTGAGTCTACGATTCTATCACCATCACACCTTGTAAAAAGTTGGTCTCCCTCCTGCACAGATGCTCCCCTGAAGTGCTGGAAGGCCGCAACGAGGTCTCCCCACAGCCACTCCTTCTCCAGGCTGAACAAGCCCAGCTCCCTCAGCCTCTCTTCATACGACAGGTGCTCCCATCCTCCAAGCACCTTCCCAGCCTCTGTGCCCACTCCACCAGCTCCGCATCTTCATTATGCACCAAGTCATAACTGTGCATGAACAGAACGAGGTGAGGGTCATACGTGGAGCAGAAAGCACTCTGACCAACTGATGGCCACGACTCTTGCTTCAGCTTCCTTACACACAACCAACCTATAAGCTAAAATCTAATGTACGCAGTATGTGACCACTGCAAAGACAGAGTTGCAGCACAGAAGTTTAGAAGAACATACAGCTGGAGCCAGAAATGTTTTGATGACAACAAATTCTCTACCTGAGTAAATTCTTGCCATGAATCTGATAAAAAAGTTAGGCAGAAGAGTCCAGTCCCCATTAGTGTGTTATGGCTTTACACACGTATCTGATGTCCAAACAATTAGAAATGCTTCTTGTTAAAGGCACTATTTTTAATTTCCATTTCTCAATTTCCATTTCTATCCTTCCACACGGAAATTGACATTGGTACCAGTGCCTCCTGCGATTGATCAAGACTGACTTGGGGGTTTCCCCTTTGGAGTCTTAGAGTAGAGATCCATAGCTGCCCGCATTCTCCACCAATAATTGTCACGGAGTTATGCCTAGATCTAAGTGTGTGACAGGGGGGCACTGGCCCGGGAAAAAGAAATGGAGAGACAAAGGAACGAAGAAGAAGAAGAAAAGGGTACAATCAGGTTGGCATGCAATTTGGCCAGCCACGGCATACTTTATGTTTTCCTGTGACACTGCCACATCAGCCTGACTTTTTTTTCTGTTAACTCACATCTCTGTGCTGTGAAGCAAGATGCCCAGGGAGATTTTAAGTGTCTTAATTTTGTCTGCTAAATAGACCGTTGATTCTCGGAATCGTAGAATCATAGAATCCTTTGAGCTGCCAGGGACCTTTAAAGGCCATTTAGTCCCACTCCCCTTCAGTGAACAGGGATGTGCACAGCTACATCACGTTGCCCGGAGTTTGATCCAGCCCCTCTTTGATAGTCTCCAGGGATGGAGCATCAACCACATCTCTAGGCAAGCTGTTCCAGTGCCCTCACTGTAAACGACTTTTTTTGTATATCCAACCTATATCTGCCGTCTTCAAGCTTGAAGCCATTTCCCCTTGTTCTGTCTCCAGAAGAGACCCTGCTAAAGAGTCTGTCCCCTTCTTTCACGTAACTCTCCTTGAGATACTGAAAGACCACTG